TGTTCACGTGGACTCTGTTATGTCGGTTCCTGTGGGAGCTATAGGAATTTCTGTCCTAACAGGCGTTTATGTCGTAAAAAGAACATAAGTAAGCCTTTTTTCGGTTGATCGTATTTATGAACCATATTGTCTCTGTGTTTGCTCAGGCTGATGTGGTCATATGACATGTTATATTAAAAAAAATTATTCAGAATTTTGTTTCTAAACTTAGGAGTTTAGGCTGTGTGTTGGTGATCTATAAATGGACAGAAAGTCCATATAAAAAATAAATATATTTAAGCGAGAATTTAGTTATAATTAATGTTGCTAATGATGTTTTTATTTTATATTAGAGTACAAGTGAGAACAAATAAAATGTAGGCATTTGTACGAATACATTAACACATAATTTAACGAATAAAAAGGTTTTTAGTAAATTGTTAATATGAATATTTTGTAAACCCTTATGATTAATAATTATAAAGTTTAGACGAAATGATAATGTTATTTTTATAAATTAAAAGGCATTTTGTTGAATTTTTATATATAACTATTTAGTTCAATAGGCTATGTACGTGTTTAAGTCATCAATATATTTTAAAGGTGCTATATGCACTAATGCAATTAGTATCTATTTGAGACATTAGTAAGATAAGTAATTTTTAAATCTATTGTTGTAAATCTATTGAGTGCACTGTAAAATATATGGAACACTGAGCTACCCATATGAATAAATAAGCATACATAAAAATATATTTATGCATGTATCATCAGTTTGTTCAGCTTGAGTAGTCCAGCTGAGGGTGAAGCTCCGAACGTTGTCCTGGTTTAATACACGATTATTATTAACAAGAGCCCACAGAGATGACTTGCTTTTGTATCTGCTATGTAGCGGTATATGGTCGTGAGGGCACATAAGACAATAAGGTGTCAGTGGGCCAACCATCTGAACGATCACTCATCACAAAGAAAGTATCTAACTGTAACTGACGTTAATTTTCTACTATAGGTACATAATACAATTGACAGATGCTTAATTAAAGTAAGTTTGACGAAAGAAATTTCTTGCACTAATTAAAAAATAACATTATGTTTTGTTTATAAGTTCTATTCTTAATCGATGACCTCTTTGTGCCTATACTATTTTGAATGTATATTACTCGATGTCTATAATGAACTAATTTTGGTAATTTATTTTATCACGATGGTTGCCGTGTGGTCCCAGTACCTATAGAATCTATAGAATAGGCCACCCCTTCCTTTTCCGTGGGTGTCGTAGGAGGCGACTAAGGGAAGGCGATTGATGCGCAGTAGCGCAGTAGCGTAGTAGTAGTTGCCATTCTTGGCCTACGAATTGGCAACTGCGGTTGCCAATTCGTAGGCCAAGTATGGCAACTACTGGCAACTCCCCCAAGGGGGAGGCTTATATTTACTAGGGGACAGTTAAAGGCTGATATGATGGTCATGATCATTTTAGTACGATAGAAGTTGCTTCTTTATTATTTTCTAAATGCAGGTTATGTTGTTTTTAAAATAGATTAGTTGAGGATCATAGTCTTGCAGTTAAGGATACAACTGGGTCATTTTTATTGTTGTATAATATAATTCTATTATAATTTTGGTTATCTTACATAATAATTCGATTGGTATGAAGTATTGTAGGTGTACCTAGGTGTAGAAAGAGAAGACTGTGTTGTTCGCTTATAAAAAATAACTTGTCCCCAGTAATCGGAGAGCTACCTATTTATCTGTGGCCGGTTCGTATAACCTGTCTGTCGTCTGTTTGACATTTCTAATATAAAAAATGTAGATGGATGATTATACATATATACTTCCGTCTTTTTGTTACTGTAAAAATGTTACTAGTATTTTAGACTATTTTTTTTTACGTTTTGGACTCAATAATATTTGCTATGCGATGATCAGTCATTTGGTTTCAAATAAATTGATCTCCAATACGAGTATAACAGAACACAGCTTTATTTGCGTGCTGAGTATTAATAGAATTATTTGTATGAAAGAATTGATATTTTAGATTTATAGACTAATGTCCCATTGCTGTCATGATTTGTCGCCATAACATTATTTATATCGTCATTACCTTACTATAGTATATATTATATTTATTATTGACGTGTGGTCCCAACATAGAATGAGCCACACGTTGCTTTTGCGTGGTTATCATAAGAGGCGACTAAGAAAATTTTAGTGCTAACTACTGGCAAATCCTCTTAGGGGACGCCCATGTTCAGCAGTGGATAATTAAAGGCTGATATTATATGGAAAACGACAATTTAAATCATCCCTCTGAGTTTTGATAATAAAAACAATTGAATGTGCTCGTAAGTCTTTTAAGATTTCAGATTATATGTGAAGTGTGAATCGTTGAGTTTCACGTAAGTTTCTTTTAAGTATTAATTAAAATAGTATCTTAAACGTGCACAGGAAATTGCTCTGGTATTTGAGATTGTTTTATTTTTACGGGCCTAAGTAGTAGGAGTATAGTATCTGTATAATAGAAAATCAAATCAAAAACTTGTAATGGTGTTTTTCGATATCCTTTGTTTTTATTATGGTAAATGCAAACATCCTTAACTCATATTTATTTTTATTGTTTTAAAACTTTATAAATGTGAGTAAAAATATTATCAGTAAGTAGATGATAGATACTAACTTATATGTATGTACTATATTTAAACAAGTAATAATTTTCAGACTATCGTTTATATATAATCCTTAAGCTTAATACTTTGAAAGCTTCTACGAGAACAATGGGATGTTTGTGGCACGTAGAGTTTAATTGTGTAGGAGTTGAAGGACGGAGGGTAAATGTCCGGTTACTATCGCGGGTAATACGGGTGACGCGGGTATGATACGCCCCGCAGACTGCATGTCTGTCAAGTAGAGTTGTCAACTCGGTATGTGCCGAGCGGACTGGAGACATATTGTTGCTAAACAACAATAATTCACACGACTATTTGTCATTTTCCAACTAGTATTTTTTTTATTATTTTACGACATTGTTCTGCTGTGAGTGACATGATATCATTATCGCTTAAATATATTTATTAGTTAATTTTATTTAAAACAATTTTATTGCATATAATAAATCTATTTTGTCTATGGGGTGCTTAGATATCATAAAAGTATAGGAATTATTACGAGATTAAAGTTGGAGACAATACCCATTTTTGTATGATATATTTTCAATATCCACTTTTTATTTTATGCTTGTATGGATACGTGTCTTTTCAGAAAGAGATTTGTATCAACTGCGTATTTGCATGGTCACGTGTGCGTTGTAGCGTAAAATTCTGTTAAGGATATATAAATGTTTTTGTATTTATAAAATGTTTGTCTATAGTCCGAATTAATCCTAACACTTAATTGAAATAAATAAAACTATTTCTTTGAAAAATGTATTTGAGTTAACTGTTTGTCTTTTAGTTACTTGATTACAAAAGATAAATATTAAAAATAGCCTGAGCTGTTACTTAAAATCATTAAAAAGTAATTATGACGAAATTTTGAACTTAAACTCTGTGCACTATAATCTAGAAGTAAAGAGGTGTTACAGTGCATTCCGTGATGTGCATGGTTTCGTTAGGTGCTTTCAAGTTGCATAAAAAACAAACTTAACCAGGAGTAGGTATTACAGGTACAGATAGGCATTACACTTCTTTCTGCTACTAAGCATTATGGCAGTATTTTTAGATATTTTACGGTATTACACTTACATAAATGAAATTGAATAGATGCCGTACATCTACTTTTCGTTTCATTTTTCACCTGACTTCAAAAAGAATGAGATTCTCAATTTCTTTTAATGTTTGTTATCTCCTGTTCATTCAATGTTGTAACTCCGTCAGATCTAAATCGATTTGCAAAATTCTTTCTTCATCTGAAACGATAATCGTTTCAATAGTTTAATTTTTAAACCAAAATAACTGGTTTTGCTATAATTGAAGTCGGTTGTTTTTGTAAAAAGCAAGCTCTTTAAATATGTTTTTTGACTCTAGCTAATATCAATTTGTAGTTCTCACAAAATTACTGATGTCAAATAGAGTTTCATTTTTTAATAAATAACACTTTAGGTACTTACTTTACTTTCAAGGGCTTGGTGCGGAAGTGGATTTGTTATTAAAATATCTTTAGCTCAGTTTTAGTATTAATAGAGTGAGGTTGTTGCTGCTATTAAGCATTCCTGTTACATTGTCATAAAATATAATGTTCGTTACTATTATACTATATTATATTAGTATACATGTATAGATATATACATGTATCGAGACAATATTATACTAACCCATCCCTAGAATACACGTAAAGAGGAATTGTTAGGATCTAACTAATACCTGATATGTTTTTTTTACCACGAAGGTGGCAAACAAGCATACAGTTACAAGTTGTAGGAGCGTTTTCGCATACAATAAACTGGTCCGCGTGACACCGATTGTGTTGACTGCATTTTAAACTTGCATATTATGCTTCATTGTTTCCATTACAACATGATAGGGTCTAATTGCTGTAATATTAATTATGTGCCTACCTACAAACCTCTTAGCCTCCTAGTAATATCGTGCTGCAATCTCTGCAATCAATTACAGTGTCCGTCCTTTATATAGTATGTACTCGTAGGATTTTTAATAACAAAAAAAAAAATTTCCGTTTACCTGTAACCTCTTTCTATTTCCTATCGTAATTAAATTGAAAAGATCTCGTAACAGATTGTACTATTTGTAATTACACACTCGTGTCGAAACATTATATTGTATTAAAATGTATTTTTCAATGTTAACTACAAGTAATTTATCCTTCGTTTAGTGTGCTTGTGAATTTATAGTTTTGTATTGTTATATAGTTTAATTTTAACCCATGGTATACGAAAGAAAAAAAGGACACGTAACTTAAAAATATACAAGTTTTTGTGGTGGTATTGGGTTCGATCTATCTACCTCAAAATGGAATATGATAAATTGGGGTATTAGTTTTGAAATAATTAAAAGAAATTAATAAAACAATTCAACTTTTATCTTATAATGATATCTATAATTTTAGGTGTAATGGTCTATAATATTAGCTTCACTTTTGATACTCTAATTGGTATGTATATATTTATCCTGCCAATCGTTGCCTTCAAGCCGTGTAGATGACGGCATAACTTGAGTGTTCGAACACAGCCACAACATATAAATTATATAATAACTAAAAATAGTCTGTAAACGACGTACACGCATCATGCACGGGAGATGCGCTCGAGGCGCGGTGGGTCTCGCTGGTAGCATCGTCTGCGCAGCCTTGACATTTGATGAAGCGCGCGGCATGGCGCATCGGTCAATCCGCGGACACTAGCCCCATCTGCGGAAGCGGTCGAAACGTGGCACTGGGAGGTATGGATACCGAGCCGGTACCCTCACATTTTCTAAATTGTAACCTCGCCGCCGCCTTACAAGCTGATGCTCATTTTCATTCTCTATACGCTTTTTTTCAGGTTTCAAGATTGTTACTACATTCGACTCTAATATAACATTGTCACTTGCGACAAGATCGTCCGGTCTCAGTCTTGTTATGAGTTTTCCCCTATTCTTTTGTGCTGATAGGTATTCCTCGTTGAGTACATAATCTAGGAGCTTTGGCACTTGGTTGTATTTAGTGGAATCAATTTCTCTTTCGTAGCCGATACGATCGCGGGTATTGGCGAGCGCAGGCGCTGCCAGCGCGAGTGCGAGCGCGAAATACGCGTGCATATTGCGGTGTGTGTAGAGTGATTGAGCCGCGCGGGCCCAACACACATTTTATATATACGAGTGATCGATACCATTCGTTCCCAAATCGAGTACATTTTTTGTATAATCATATGTTCGGCACGAAACGCTCTGGATTATAATAGCGCATTGTATATCGCAGATGGCAGGCAGCGGTCGCTCAGGAGTCCAGTCCAGGAGGCTCTTGCTCGATTCGTGCGAGTTATATGCCATGCTACAATTATTCGTATATTTTGATGCACTGGCGGGTATAAATACGAACGCTCATGAACCTTGTTCCACTTACATTAGGCGATATTACCCACGATATTGTCGACGGCACAAGGTGACCATCGTATCGTTGTGGGCATTTATCATTATCTATCACACCTTGTCTTTAATGTCGTGGTATATGTGGTTTATCTAAACGGAATTAAACCTTTGGCGATTACACAAAGTATACTATTAAGAAAGGGTAGGTAAAAAGTGTCAGTAGCGTAGGTATTCTTCAATAATTAATAATGCGTGAATTTTGGCTAATATAAATATATAATCTAAAAACACCTTTAGTATGTATATGTGGTTTTATAGTTCAGAAAGTATATCAAAAGGTTCAATACACAGAGTTGAAGGTTTCAGTTCAATTTACGTGCAATGCAGTTAACTGTTTTGAATTGCTCGTTTAAAGACATAGAACACGATTCTTCAAGGATAATATTTATACAGAAAAACAATTTAATGTGGGAATGTATGCTTAAGTATATAATATAATATTACTGTGCGAAGAGTGAATATAAATGAACGACATTTTACTTTTTTTTTTTTTGCGATGCATATATTTTGTAATGTCACTGTGAATTTATGTTTTTAAAACAAGCTTCTTATAATTTTAAACATATACATAGCATTTTTTAACAAAATTGAATTATGAAAATTGTGATTTATAAAAAAAATCAATGCGACTATGTATATGCGACTAAACCTGTGATTATTTTCAAATAGAAAGCTGAAACATAACTTGTTGGCCCGGAATTGAAAATACGAGGTCATCTCCAAAATACAAATAGAAAACGAGAATACAGGAAGCAAAGTACCTAAGCTGCCGACCTTCCGAAATCATTCTTGCTTTGATGAATACATTCTTATATACTGTATGTTACTATATAGGTACTTGTACTTAGTCTGTGATATTTGAATATTAATGTTTTTATGTCAAAATAACTTTTGGATTAGAGTTTGTAAACAAGTTTTTATACTTTTATTTATTTAATACCGACACATGTACTGCTTTTGTACATGCTTACTTACAATTTGTAGATTTAAATTTAAGCACGAGTCTTAATGATTGCTAGGTTTTGCTTGTAGAAACGTCAACGCGGAAATGAGCTCAAAGTAAACGGAAGCCGGACAATTGTGTCATATGAATGTATGTATATCGACAAGCTTTAGGTAGTCAAGGTGAAGAGCAATGTTTGAGTCCACTCCTTTCCGAATTTCATTAGCATTTATCGAAAAATATTTGCACCAAATCTAATATTCTGTTCGATTTATTTATGAATCTCGAATCGCTGATACTGACGAGTAATTACTTCTTTTGGAGCGGTCAATTGAAATAGAGTCAAGAATATTTAAATTGAATTTGTTGAATTTGTAAAAGAAATTTCTCAAGTTATAATCAATTTGTGGAATTTGTGATATTATAATAAGAGAAAATATTGTAATTTTAGAAACAGATAATAATAAACAGATATAACCATATCAAGTCGGGTCGTATGTTTAAAAACCTTTCCTTAAAGCATTTATACCTATCCTCCAATAATAGGAATTGCTAAATTTTTATATTATTTTTAAATTGTTAATTTAATGTAGACAACGATTTCTTACCCCTCATATATTTCTAAGAATAACTAAGAATAAAATAGCTTTCGTAAAAGGAATAAATATTAATGAAAAAGATAATAAAAAAATCCAAAGTTTGAATGTAAATCGCATCCTTGTGATTCATGAAAGTAGGGTTCTTAAAATTAATCAAATTTAAGATTTCCAGATGCAATTTAAGCAAAGAATAAAATTTAAATAGAAAATTTAAATAGAATGCAATGTCGCCTATTTCAAAATACAAAGTGTTACAATATAGCCAGTTATTACAATAACACAGTTAGAGTATTAGAGACAAATAGGTTACAATATAAACAACATTAACTGAAGTAATTTCGGCAAAAAATTTTTTAGTGAAATAAAAACAAAAACAAATTTGTGTAATACACAAGACTTCGGAATTTATTATTTACATACATAGTTCAATTTCAGAATAAGGTCGACATTTCTATGGTAAGAACATATACTATATAAGAATGAGGTGAATGACCAAGTAGTATTCTTAATTACGAATACCGACCTATTGCTACCCTACACGTATCCATTAGTAGTCCCAACCAAAGGAAGACGAATGAAAAACAATATTTTTTGTAATTGTACATGACGAATTCCATATAGAAATTGAAGTTAAAATCAGTCATATACATAATTTATTAGTTATAGGTATGTCTATAATTATAGAAGTCCGTGAACCGCGCGCAAATCTAATCATACAATTAATTCAATTATAATGAAAAAGTAGTCGAAGCCGGTTCTAAGTACGAGAATAAGTATCACAATTACGTTTTCTTATAGAGTCTTACACTGATCATCGTAATGTGTTTAGTTCTTCAAACATAACAATTTTCTTCACAGTGCGTACCAGCCAAATGACACTTGTCCAAGGACTTGTAGACAATGCAAGAAGCGTCACTTCCGCGTTTTTGTTTCTTGCCGCTTTAATCACAATATCGTCGTTAGAATATTAATATTCGTTAACAGAGTTCATTCAGACGATAGACTATTTGTGTATACTGATCGAGTTTTTGTGTTTATTTTTTGTTATAAACATTCAAATAGTTAAGATTTAAGCTATTTTTAAAGTAATTTATTCAATATACTTATTTATAAACTTCGTTCGTGTTTACTGTTAGAAAGAAGATAGGTGTCTCAGTCGTGTTAGCAATGTGAAAGTGGGTTTGTTTATTTGTTTTGAAGCTCTTAGTGGTTTAACCACTCAACTAATCGACATGAAATTTGGCATATACATAATACTTACTTGTATTTCGGACGAGGGAAGGACATACTCGTAGGCTACTTTTTGTCCCGGTTAATCAATATATACCGATCATGTGTATGAAGTTATGGATCAAGACCAATATAAAATATAATATATCTTTAGTTAGTTACAATTTTAAAAGATATTCTCAACTTAAAAGTTTTTAAAAAGAAGTTATTTAAAAAACAAAAAAGCATGAAAAAATAATGTTGATGATGATAAATGACAAAATTGTTTATTTTTAAATGTTATAAATTTTAGGTTCTGTTGTAATAATTCAGTTGTACTAAAATCAGATCTTGACAGAATATGTTTATAATTATTTAAGTATCTACCTAATTGTTTTTGGTATGTGTTATATAAACTTTTTTCTTTGTCCTTTTTATTATTGACTAATAGCAATGTGGTCATTTTGCTAGATAATTGATTTAGTGTTGAGAGTGTGGGGACTTACAGAGTTCGTCGGCTTTGTTTGACGCGGCTTCGGTGTTTGCGTCCTCGGAGGCCAGCGGTCATTGCTTCCTGATCACCGCTGTTCATCTCGCTCGCATCATAAAGTAACGCTCTCGATACGTTTGCGCAATGCATTATTCAAGGTGTCATGATACGATAATACGAAAAAAAAAACATGGACAACTCATTATTATGTCTAACAGAATAGTATATTCTTTTATTTTGTTTATTGTAAATACAATGTTATTCCTTGTTCCGAAAAGCAATTATCTGAATATTATTTATTTCATCTAAACTACATAATTATCTTACTACTAAGTATTAAATACCTCTCCGGGGTATAATATCACAAAAACAATTAATGTAATTAAAGTATATATTTTAGAGCTTATGATTATCTTATAAAATTATATTACTTATTTAATAGTTAATTTAGTTTTTGTTCTACAAAAAAAAAAAACAAATCAGTCTCGACAAATTTAGTAACAGTAGACAAGACCAACACGGAAGTAAACCCTGTCTAAATTTTGTTTTTTATTATTTAATCTAATCTTTGTTGGCACCATATAGAATCGTAAAATTTGTCAGAGGTGTACTTAAATTTTAGTATGGTGGACATAAGCCGCTTGTCTTGGTCAATCAATAAATCCTGGTCATATGCTCAAAGTTGCAGGTACTTACTGATAGTAGGTTGTTGGGTATTAAACGTAATTTTTTTGTCCATAGATGCCCTGGGACTCGTCTGAAGAGCAAATGGGAGCGCCTCGCGAGATGCGCATCCACGTGCAGAGGGTGATCGCTATTCCCGGACCACAGAATATGCCTCCTCAGCCTGACTCGCTGCCTCGCTTCTTGCCACCCAATATGCCTCCTCAACCTGAAGCAGTTAACCGATTCGTGTCTCCACCAGCGATGCCACAGGCCCCAGAACAGAACGAGGTAATATAGATATATCGGTAGTCCTTTCACGTAGATTGACAAGCAAGTTGCTTATTTGAGCATATATAGTCTATTAATACACTAGATAAGTACTTTTGTAAATAGGTGTCTTAATAATATTGTTATTATGATTTTTTAATGGGGAAGAATGGAATGATAACTCCGCCAGCGTTATCGGTACACACTGACGGGGCTCCAGTGAAAGATGATAAATGAAAGCGATGATGAAAGCAGGTCAGTTAGCCCCTCGTCACGAATTTACCAATAATTCATCACAATGGTTTCCAGGGGGAACCGCGTGGAGGTCGACCTGATAGGGTATATTGCTAATAATGGGGTTGTTAAACCTCATTACTAACAATCCCTTTTCCCCCTGCGAAAGTTGGTTAAGTGTTTATTACTCAACGACTGACCTGATTTGAATAAATACAAACAGATAGGTAGTTTAAATAACTATCCATTATTATAAAATAATCCGAGGCATTTTACTGTTACCATTGTAATGAAGGCATTATTTGATTACTGCCCACTTTGCCGAGTATATACAATATTTATGTAAAAATTTATTAAAGGATGACCATTATCGAAGTTGGTAAAAAAATGTAATTGATACGCAAATACTCGAATATGTTAATGAAATAATGTTAGCGAGTGAATTAACGATACCCCATATGTTTATAAATATAACACGCAAAATCAACTAGAATAGTTTAGTACTAAGAAATAAAACAACATCAGAATGTTCGTGCAAGTATTTAAATAAGCAAAAAACTCAGCTAGATCGGTACAAAAACATTCCGTTATTTCGTAATTTACAACATCGGTAACAAATTGTATGGAAGATGTTTGTTACACGGAAATATGTATAGTAATGACATCTGTTAATAAATTGATTGAATTACATTTGAATGTCTGTGTGCGCGTGAATTTATCACGATCTGAGTCATTGATAAATATTTGCTATATTCATAAAATCATCGATAAGTATTATTTATCTACATGATGTACAGACATAAAGTTTATTTATAAGCAATGGATTAAAATTTGGTGATTTTTGTATACCTTTACATTATACGTATAATGGGCGAATAATTGAGAGTATATTTTTAATCAACTTCAAAAATGTTGCTCTCGATTTGATTCTATTTTTATGTTTAAGATACACTATCTTAATAGAATATAGTTTAAGATGTGAAAATTATTTTTAAATCGAAATTTTTTATTCAATAATCAGTTTATTTTCGTCGACTTAAATTCGAAACATTAAATCGTGTAGGGGTTCTTTATACTTGTACATATAACGTAGCAAACTTTCCTGAAATTCCTACGGGACTAGAAGATAACGAGTTGGAGAGAAACGGCTACTTATTATTGTTTACGCGTTCTGGACGTAAGATATTAAATGAATTATGAAATATGGTTGTCACTTAATAAATCTTTAAAAAGATTTAGTCAATTTTAATAGGTATAATTCCTGTTTTATAATTAGGATTTTAATAAAATTTCGATCCAAAACTAGGTCTGCTTTTCTACATAAATTCTTATTTATACATTAGGTAAAATTGTTAAATTAACATATTTTAAGTATTTTATTATAAAAATCTTTTTGTTAAAAAAATCATTATTGATAAAATAAAGACAGGATCAGCAATAAAAACCTTTTAATTAAAAATATTCATCAAAATCGAATAATAAATGACGAAGAACTCTTTCTTATACACTAAACAATATATAAAAAATACAATCAAAATAAAAACAAAAACGTAGACCATGTATTATTGCGCCACCAAGCTGCCATATTCGATATCGTGACTCAGAGATTTAGACGAGTTAATGCTAGTTGTTTTTGGATAAAAAAGGTATTTGCTTAAAAAGAAAAACACAAGACATATTCATCGCGGGGTCACCGAAGCGTTATTCTCTGGAGGTTAAAGAACCCTTCGGCAATTGTTGGTATGCGTCGCGAATGTGGTAGGTAGATTCATCACGTATCCAATGCTATAAAATATATGCAATATTTACAAACCGATACTTAACACTTGGTAAGATGAGTGGGAGTTATAATTTTATTATTAACAAAAGCTTTCAATGTTTATTGTCGAGCATGACTTATCTTGTATCGGTTTTTCACCGATAATTTGAAAGAAGGTAAGCGTGATTGGTGATGGTCGATTTCTGATGAGGTTGTAAACTAGTTATATAGACTGACTACGACACATGTATTGTTTTTAACGTTATTCATACTGTGTGATTATTAATAAGTAATTGATAGTTTTGATTAATGTATTAATTGAAACATACATCAGATTTTAAGTTAATAAACATAGACGGACAAATTTCTAATAAATATTATTTTAGGCTCTATTTGTCTTATTAAAACCTCACATATTATATAATTTTTCTTTAACATCTCCTGTGTACATACATCATTTAGCTACAATGTATTATAGAAGAGAAATGAACAAATAATATAAGTGCAACACATATGTAATTTTTATCCCATGTTATGGAAAATTTAAAAACATTGAATATCTGTTGATGATACATATTATACGTATTCACCATTCCTTATTCCGCCCTTATCTAGGCGTGAACCATAATGGATAAATTCAGTACCTAAATTGATCTGACTGAGATTCGAATCTGAAGTTTTATTTACGTAAAGTAATTTGACAAGGACAAGTAAGGTTGGCTGGGGGGAGGGACAAGTATGTTAATAATGGCTAGTCTTTATTGCTAATAATATACCCTATCAGGCCGACATCCATGCGGGGCCCCCTAGAAACTAGCGTAACTAATTCCTGGTGAATTAACGACGAATGAACTGACTTGCTTTCATACTCACATATCATCCCTTATATATCATCCCTCACTGGTACACCGTCAGTTTATACCATTAGGCGGGATAACCATTTTGTTATTATTCATAAAAAAATTCTAAGGTTGGATGAGAAAATAATCTATGCCAAAATTATGTTTTCAATGAGTGTAAAATTTTTATTGTTATTTTTCTTTATTTCAGCAACCCACTGTAGTCCACCAATTCGTACCGCAGCCCGCACCCACGCAAGAATTGGAGCAACCTGAAGTGAGTACTATTATTGTTTGTCGTAAATAAATGAATAATTTACCACATCATAAGACAGTCTGCTAATGTTCAATAATAGTACAAATTAAAGATCGATTAATTAATCGAATGTTTCGGTACGCTTTTTCACTAAACAAGTTCTGTTGAAACAAGCTATAACTTATTGTAAGTTAATTGATGTAATATTAGCACATTTAAAAAATAATCACAACTACTAATTAATAATAAACTATTAACAAAAAATAATTTTGATTAATTAATGTGGTAGTGGTGATAAAGAGTAAATATGTATATAATTAAATAAGAATGCGACATACTCGCATATTATATTATTAATATGATAATGTTATTTGTGTATAAAACCTCCCTTGTTTTTTTTAATTGATGAAATATGTAATCTTTTCACGATAATATTTTAGCTTTATTTTAATTAAAGTTTTTCAACTATTTTTGCGTTAGTGCCAAATAAACGGCATTAAAAAATTGTTTATAACAAAAATAACTGTAATCTCATATGAAGTGAAGAGAAACGAGTCTTATTTTAAATTAATGTTTTTTTTTAGAATTGAATAGTAGCAAGGCAAAGAGGGTTACTGCCATCATGTAGTCTTAGGACACCTTATTTAAATTTCTTCTTTCTTTGTTTGTTTAGAACTAATAAAAACTTAATTATATAATATTGAGAGCTTAATTAAAATCTAAAGATTAGTTTTATTTTTCTTCTCAACTTTTTTGGACTTGATTTAATTATTTTTACTTATAATGTATTATTAAAAGTACTAACAGTAACTATATTATACTTTTTGTACTTATCTACCTATTTAAAAACTTGATAGCCACTTTATTTTTTGTTCGTTAAAAAATAATAATCATAATAAATCTCAATAAAACCACAACGTACGTATATATTTGAATTACGTTTTACTGCTCGATTATTATTCACCTATTCTTCACTACACCGTGAAGTAAGATAATTGTTATGAAAATATTGTAATGACAACAAAAACAATCTTATTGAACACCGCTGTAACGTACATTAACATCAAGGCCGCTTGTCAGACATCATTAGTTAAGTAAGAATATTTTTTTGTCTTCTTCGGTAAATGGAATGACTCTGTATAAGCGACTTTTTCCATATGTAATATTATCTTGCAAATAAAAATAATATTAGCATACAGACTGTCCATTACTGGCATAGTAAAGTGTCATCATTTATAAATAATATGACAAAAGTTTATTATAAAGCGTTGTTGTTATTTCGAACCGAAGAATTTATATCTGCAGAAATAATAATACGAGTACTACATACAATACAAATATATAATTAAAATAATTTTTAAAATTTTTTCTTAAAAGATCACTAAAGCTTAACTGCGGTTGCCAACCCGCCTGTCAAGAGTAGCAACTACTGGCAAAAGTCCCCTTATGGGAAGGCCTATGTTCTGCAGTGGACAATTGACGGCTGATATGACGATGATGATAAACAATTTAATTACTCATGTCACATGCAGTTATATTTTTTATATAATTTAATTGTTACTAAATAAAAAGTACATGAAATCATATTAATGTGTGCGATAGTACATTTTAATTGTACACTTCCAATCCGCTTTCCAAACTATACATTGTAAAAAAAAAATTTAAACCAACTCCAATTGTAACAGGGCCAGTTATTTTGTTTTAAAAACTAACCAAACTGGACTGATTTTGATAAAATTTTTATGGGACCAATCTGTAAGTATATAAAAAGAGAATTTTCCAAATCGGTTTATCACTGATGGAGTTATAAAGTAACAAACATTAAAAAATAGAACCGAGTTGAGAACTTCCTTCTTTTTGAAGTCGGTTGGAAATGGAATTTTTATGAATGTAAATAGCTACATTTATAGGTCCACTTTTCCTTATTGTTCAGCAAAAAACACACCAATAGTAAATTGGTGTTAATATTTTTCCTGAATGCTATTTATTTATAATAGAATATTCATAAAGGTAAATATTTCTTTTTTATGATACTGTTCTAAAATATTCTATGATGTTGAACTGTAATACTTTTTCCATACTACAGGAGTTCTGAAAATTTTGTTTGTTTATTCTATTTTAATTAATTAAATGGAGAGTAAGAAATGTAAATTAAATAAACATTTAAATAATTTAAAAGGGCGAAACCATTCGGGGATTAAGATAATAACAACATTTGTGGAAGAGCAGATACAAGTGTTTTCATGCATAATTTAATTATTATATACCTATTAGCTTTTCTCTTAATTTATTCAGAACAAAAATCTACAAAAGATATGTAATTTGGCTTTGTATTTTATCTACAGTTTATTTCTTGTCCCTTACTAGCATCTCTGAGATGTCAGTCGGCTATCAACTTATAAGGAATTTAGTATATGCAATATAAATACTAATATACGTAATAAAATTGTAACTAAGTGATATTTAAGGAAAATTGATATGAGGGAACTTAATAAGGGGAATAGAAGGCAAAACAATTAATTTTATATTTTTTTGTCTATTTGTTTATCTGTCTTGTTTGTTGGTTGTTCCGGTATCACGCAAAAAATATTGCACCAAATTGGTTATGGTTTTTATAATTGTGTTCTTGAAAATCAAATTTAAAGTTTGGATTTTGTCGTATTTTTTAAGTCGTATCACAGTACATACTAGACATCACTTTGTGGATTAAAAAAAAAATAATTGCACGCTAAAGTTTGCTTCTCTTTTAATTTAAATTAAATTATAGATTTAGTTCATTACGTCTATACATTAATTTTTTTAAAGATACTTTTACTTAACTTTTTTTTACTTATTCAGTTACTAACAAAATTTATCCTAAGGTATTCTACTAATTCATACTCAGTTCTATCAGAAAAATAAGTTATCTAATTAGAACTTATTGTCTATGAACTTATCCTTTTGTCTTCCTTTGAATACAACTTTTTTTGTATTAGCTTTATATATGTATTGTTCTTGTTCTTTAACTTTTCTACAATTAGAGAACATTTAAAACTACTCATATTTATATTTTTATGTAATTTGGAATGATTAATAAGTTGGTGGTCTACTTAATTATATATATTAATAGTGAATATCACCAACCATATATAGTAATAGAATACACTGTGACACCCATGGCAATGTCACGGTGCCATGGGTTACTATTCTTGAGGACTTCTTTCTTCGTTTCTATATCCTGTAATTTCACTGTCTATGAGTACAATAGCGAAGTACCACTTACCGACAATCGCAACGTAGTTTAACGCCATAGTTTAATTGCTATCCCCATAAATAGTAAATATTATGCGAAGACAAAAAAGTCATTTTATAAATTTATCGCAAGTGTTGGTATTCTTTATAAGTAATTTCGATTAAACGCCTGAGCCTATACGGACTCGAATATAGAGTACAAAGATAGACCATGTCTTAATATACAAATATTATTTATTTATTTGTTGACCACATTTTATATTTTTATTTATACTAATGTTTTATTATTATTCTTGTTATGGCAGATGAAGAAGGTTCCCCTTGAAGGTACACCGGTGCAGATGAACGTGCCTTGGGGCTTGAGCCCCGAGGAGCTGTTTGAGATCAGACAGAATGTAGAAAATACCGCTGCTTCACAGCACCGTGACCAGCAGATCGATAACGATATGCAAGAGGTACGTGCTACTAACATTATTGTAAGTTATATATTACATTATAAAGTTAACAGACAAAATCATAAAAAAATCCCACCAAAATCATACCTATTATTTCTATTTCTTAATGTGTGTGCTTATCTGGCCCTCTATACAAATAATGGCAAGCGAATTTGTTGATGGAAGCGACATTGCTAGGGAGTCCGTGAGATAGAATGAGATAGCAATGCCGGATATCTCATTCCAATTCACAGAATCGCTAGCGATGTCGATTACATACCTACGACGAATTCGCTTGTCGCTTGTCTAGAGGGCTAGTTTATATTATTAACTAATTTATTTTATAGAATTTTATCGTTTAAAAATAAATAAGACAAAAGTAATAAATACTAAAACTTTTTTCATTTAGGTAGGTATTTATTATGAAGCCAATTATAGAAAACAAATTTTATATAAATAAATATACATATATTATGTACTTTTTTCTCATATTAGGTATATCACAGTTGACGGTACAAGTTTAGCGTTCATTCAACTTACAAGTCCGTTTCTAATTAATCGTAGCTTACAGAGGTTTTGTTAGCTTCAATTGTTTATATATACATATATATACGAATACATTGGGTACCTATATACAAATAGAATATCTTTATGTATAATTCAATCGTATTTAGTTAATATAGGTACTTCATTTGCATAAGTACAATTAGGATTATATTTATGTAAAATATACTTAATTTCAAATATGAAATAGTAGTTTTATTATTTATTTAATATGTTTAAGAATCGAGCCGTCGAAAGAAAAGTTTTTAACCTAAAATTCTAAAATGCATGATTACGCATTTTAAAATTGTTTGTCTGTTTGTAATTTTCATGTGTATTTTTGATTTTTTCCTAACATAAAAAAACATATGATAATTTTGTGAAATGCTGTATATAAAACAGGACTCATTTTTTTAGTTTTTAGAAATTATATTATTAAAATTGTAAGCAGACAATTATAGACAGGTTAACTTTTAATATAGGAAATAGCCACTGTATTTTAATGTAAAAATAAGCGATTGGTTTAATTTATGTGTATTTTAGTTGAGAATGTACGACTAGTTACGGCTGCTCATTATTAAGGATCCTAGATAGTCCCGAAACTAGTCAAGCAATCTCAACTATAATGAAATTGCATAGAATGTGCAATTGTGGAAAAACCAGTTATTTTCATTTAAAAACTAAATTACCGAACCGATTTTTATAAAATTTCTATGGGACTAATCTGTAAGTATATCCTATCGGAGTTATGAGGTAACAAACATAAAACATACAATCGAATTGAGAACCTTTTTAAAGTCGGTTGAAATACATGCAATTTAAATTGATTGTTCTTATATTAAATTATAATGTGTATTTAAGAAACTTTTAACAAAAAAACGCCACTGTTTTTATTAGGATGTTGGTAAACAAACAGGTATATATTAATCTAATATATCTTTAGGTGAAAACGATTATGAACTCTCTGGCGGCTGCGGCCGAAGCTGAAGCCGAAGCGCAGGCGCAGGCTGAAGAGCAACAGCGACAGGACGAACAGCGGCGCCAGGTCGAGCAGTTGCCGCAGGAGGCACAGGCCCCTCGCGCGCCCCGCACCTTACTATTGCCACAAGATGTGGATGAGAGGCCACATTGTGAGTACCTATGTACATTATTAGTTGACCTGGCAAATGTTATTTTGAAACTTTAAGGATAGAATAACAAACAAGCTAACGGCCCACCTGCTGGAAAGTGGTAACCGTCGCCTATAGACATGAGCAGTACCATAGACATAACAGAGTATATACTGTTTCGCCCATGATACCCCTTATGCGTTGCCATTTCTGAGGACTCAGGTGTTATTCTTCTGTACCCTGTAAATTCACTGCTATATCCCACCTTTCAAATCGAAGCACAGACATGCAAACACACCTGATTCATGGTAAAAACACGAATGGGAAAGAGGTACCCAAGAAAACGACTTTTGTCTCTGGTAAATCTTGTAAGTTGGAGAAAAAAATACTTTTATTTACAAAATTTCATTTAAATCGGTTGAGCAATTTTAGAGATTAATGTGAATGAACATCGTGACATGGTATTTTTATATATTAAGACAATAATATAATATATACACACATCCACAAACCTGTTGTCAACTTATTTCTCTAAATTAATCTTGTTATTTCCTCGGAGTTTTATTTGGGTATTTTCTAGAAACTTAATCAACTTCAGTATGGAAACTTATAGGGTATCAAATAAATAAAGGTATTTGAAAACAGCTAGTACGTTACTGTTACTAATAAGGAAAACATAAAAGTCTATCTTATTAAAAAAAGAATAACAATTTGTCTGATACATAATCATAACAAAATTACTGAATAAATCGATTTGAAAATTATAAAAAAAAATTGCGATGCCTGTGATGCACATAGGTACGAGTAAATCAAAATAATGTTAATAGAAACGATTTTAAAATGTACGGCCGAATTAATATATGGAGATGTTGACTTTAACATATTCAATATAAAATATTTTACATATATTTTTTATTTTCAATTAAGTAGTCCCAATTATTCAAATTTCAAGTAAATTAATTTTACTTCCATTTTTTATTAATAAATAATAGTTCATAAGAAAACAATGAAATAAATTCCTAGTTATGTACATGCTATCTTTTTTATTGCTGATCACAACGGAAAGTTTAAAAATAGCGGTGCCCAGAAATAACATCTATATTTACCTCGATAATTCTATTTATTTTTTGTTACGGTGTCATTTTTCTAATTTATGCATAAATTATATAAAGGAAACATCAACTTCTGAGCAATGATCTAAATGAAGGAAGCTTCAATATTGCGTTTTATGTTAAAAAAAGTTTAGGACGAACCTTTGACATTTAAAAATAGATCTATCAGGGGAATTCACGATGGAAATCTAAGTGACGAAGTGAAATTATTCATCACTTACGTTATTTAATTAAGTATTTTTACGCCGTTCCAATTTTTTGAAGTTGATTGATGTTAGAAGAGTTACCTATATTTAACTAGGTAGCTTATGATAAGAAAAAACTTTTGGACCAGTAAGCGATATTTAATTTTGTAAGTATGTATGTATAAAACAATAGGCAAAATCAGAAAGCAAACTAAAATTGTAGTTTAGTATCTTACCATATTTTTTTTTTATTATATAATACTTTTTAGATGCAGAATTAATTTGTAAAATAATTTTAATATTAAAAAATTCGCAAATTATTGAAGTTAAAATTCATTAATTTCATTCCATCCTAATATTTTTGAAAATTATTAAAGAAACTGTAATTTTTTCCAGATATGCAGCCCCGCTCAGTTCGCAGCGTGGATGCAGTCTTGCACCGCGAGAAACGCATCAAGCGCTGCGCTTGTGACTGCGCTTGAGCTGTGAGCGCTATAGCGCTTTTAGCTGCATTTAGCTAACAGCGATACTTCCGTCCATAATACAAACATCATTTTTGTAATTAAAATACCTTCTTTTGTTAATACCCATACATGTTTTAATGACTTCTTGCTAACAGATCTCTGTAAATAAAGTTGTTAATTACCCCGCTTAGAAATGTCGTTTTTATTACCTATCGAAAGCTAAGGACTATTTTGTATTTTTCTTTTTGTTAATTAATTCTTTGTTTATCTGTATATTTTAACTAGAATAGATATAGGTACCTATTGATTAATCTTTTGGTTAATGGAGTCATGAAATGAATTTAAGTAAATATGACGACATTTTAATAGGTACGAATATTAAGTAATCGATGTGAATAGGTACACGATAAACTACAATGGTACGTTGTGAAAAGTAGACATGCTTTTCATATTACAGATATTATTTTATTCTATTCAAAAAATCATTGCATTTAATAAATCTTTGAATAAATCTTTTTGTAACATAAATATAATACGAAACCTGACCGATTATTGTAAACTAAAGTGAAAATACTAAGATTTTTTTTTATTGTGATCCTAAATTAAATGTTTATTATTAGTTTTACTGATTTTGTTTTAATTTGATCATTAACCTATTAATCTTATGAATTTGTTGTAAAAATAATAGATTAGTAGTGGTTGTAGTACGTACCTACTTTGTAACTATCCACAAATAGATAGTTATATACAATAGTTCAATTTATATGAAAATTACTATTTGCCGTGATTGGCATATCTCTATATACCTATCAAACTCTAAATACTATCTTTGCAATTTCCATCTTGCAGCAGGAATTCTAGATTGAAGATTAACCCAAGACAAATATAAAATGTAATAAGTTCTAATATAAATTCTATTTTAAATACCTCCCTGTGAACCTATTACTATCTATTACGTATTAATAAGTGTGTAGAATGACATATATTGTTGTTTTTAACAATAACAACGATGAATCAACTTCCTGAATTAAAAAAAGAATGAATATTTTTGAAAATAATCACGATATACTAATAGATATATTTTATCAACATGTACACACATATATACCTACACGTGGAACACGTGTTAGTATCTGTGTGAACAAAGATACTATCAACTATTTACAATCCACGCCTTCGTCTTTGTGAAATTTATTTCATGGAGTTTTAATTTTTATTAAATATATACATATTTTTTTATTATAATTAATGTATTTTTATATTGTTAGACATTTTTTATTAGTTTTAAGATATTCAATATAGAATTGACTTACAGTCGAGACCTATTTTAATTGATTTAGGTATATTCCATATAACGTAACGGAAACATATTATATATTTTGTGATGCGTTTAAATGGATTAAGAGAAAATTCAAGATCTTTTATTTATTAAAATATATGGTAAAAAAGGCTGACTTAATGTTGTAAACAACTCGTTTAACATTACAGAAATTAAATACAACTATAGTTATTGCAAGAACTATTATTTACTATATCTACAAGTACAGGTTAAATAAGGTATAGAATAAATAATAATAATCTTAATATATAAAATTTTCTATAAATATTGTGCCTCTCCTTAAAATTTTAACGTTGTTAAAAGTTACTAAATTCAAAGGGAAGGCATTGTGAAAGTAAGTAGGTATTTCCCTAATTTATTGAAGTTTTAACAAATGAAATTTTATTGGAAGCTAATGAGATATTATATAAGTGACTCGGTGCTGTTTTCTTGTGTGAAATATCTAATTAAAAGGTACTTAATTAAATTGAACAATAAATAAACACAACGTTATAATTACTAATATATTTATTTAAATTAAAGCTTTCTAAATTTTTTATTACTACGGTAAGAAAATTAATATCACATGGTATAATTTTTCAAATAAATACTTAGGTACTTATGTTTATTAATTACCTACACTATGATTGGTTTGAACTTCTGATGAATTTAAATTACATTTAAAATTGAGTGTAATTAATATAATATAAAGACAAAGAATCAGAAAATTCAAAAGAAATCCTAATATATAACTTATAAGCAATGTCGAAAAAGAAACACCGCACCACAATTCTATAATATCTTTAGAAAATAAATAAAAGTTTATAACTAAACATAGTAAAAAAGTAATAATCGTTAGACTTCTGGCGAATTGTCTAATTTTATCTTTCAAAACTTTATGCAGTATCGTTAAATAAAGTACAGTGCCCATAAACATAAGAGGCCATTTAAATATGCAACAAATTAGTAAGTACATAAGCCATTGATTTAATATATTAGTGACAACTAATGTTGTAAAAATAATAGCTATTGGTAGGGGCAACAACCAAGAACAAATCAATACTTTATATAAATTATTTTGACTTATTTTTACCAACACTACAATTAAACTATCATACATATGTTTAATGAAGAAAAAAACCAAAATAACTATAACAAAATCGATGTATGTTTGACTGCTCAATATTGCTGTTTCGAGTTCAATCCCAGTTGATATTATTTTACTTTCTTTTAAATATATTATAACGAGTACTATTCTTTTTAAGAATCGAACGATACTTAGCTGCATTAACATTTGATTTCTATAATTCCTCCTCCAACGCTGTATCTTTAGAGCTGCTACAATCGATATTATTAATTCCAAAGCTGTCATAACAATTTCAATTATAATGAAGGCGCCGAACAAGCACCAAGTATCTCCAGACTCACTGTGAAATGACTTCTTAACGTCAATCGTGTTACGAACACTTTCTGTGATCGAAACTTTTGCCCCTAAGGGTGTAATAGAAGTAATTTCGCTTTCGTTGAACCATACTGACGTGGACGCAACAGATTCAGTTGTAGAATATGTATCATTGCCGAGATCGGTCAATGTTGTCACACTTTCCGTTGACATTCTAACAACATTTGTTTACACACAAAGTTAATACGACACAAAATACGTGCAACTCGATGGAGGTGGCAGACAGACTGGAACTAAGGTGGACGTTTCAATGATACAGGAAACAGCGCAAATATTATTCATAAAATGTCCGGACAATTTATTAGAATTGCGGTCGAAAGACGTCATAAGCAATCTACACAAAATACCCAATCCGTTGTTCACTGCAATAAGTGACGTGTTAATGTTGACTCGTTTGTAAACCAAGTTAACATTTCTGAGTTATATATTTTCTCTTTTCAAATTTTAAGGACTAAGCTCGACATAGTTAACTTTATGATAATATTAAGCGGACATAAATACTAATTGCTTGTTTGAGTTGGTTAGTTTAGAAAAAATCAAGAGATTCTGATAAAACAAATCAGACAACGTATATCTGGGAACAAATGGAGGTAAAAAAAAAAAACTGGGATCTAGAATACCCAGGTCCGAGCAAATTTGGAAATGTTAGTTTTCTAAACTGACCAAGACAGAATTCTGAACTTTATACATGCAAAGCAGCCTGGTCACCGTTATGTCACTTTACGAAACTTTGTTAGAAATACTAAGAGGTTTCACAAGATTTCTGTATTATTTTCATAGGCGGACTGGAAGGGAATACCATAACTTTGTCAGCGTGAGATTCGGATGATTCAAGGCGGATGCCTGGGTATGTAATATTATGTACTATATGTCTAAAGTTAAATATATAGCTTGACCGGTGATTTGTGTGAATATGATTGAACAATCAGATTCATAACCTTTGTGTAAGAATAAAAATAGAATAAAATATTGGCAATTCTTCTGTGTGTTTATAAAGAAATAAAAGAATCTAATAATCTTTGGTAGAGCACTTGCGCTATTGCATTTTACAGAAAGTTCGCTATTTTTCTCTTGCTACTGCACTATATAGATGCACTTGTTAAGAAAATGAGTGTTTAGCGTAATTCTGATCTAGAGATCAATAAACTCATATTACATGAACTTTAATAGGATTTCTTTTATATAACTTAATGCGTTTAATAGGCCTCTTACGCTGCGGGCGTAATATATGTATTGACGGACTAGTTTACATTGACAAATTATACAAAGCAACCGAGGTTTTTAAATTTAATGGCTGTTTCGCCGTGAAGTTTGCCTTCGATTTTAGTAAATTGATTAAGTTGAGTAGGTATAGTTACATTGAGTTGGACCTCCAAATAAACCAAATATATAATTGGAATATAAAAATGAATACATATATTAATAAACGATGAAGAAGCATGTAAATAAGAATGAAAAGAGTACTAGACTATTCATTTCTTAAAACAATTAATGGAAAATACCATTAATTAGATACACGGTCACCTCTTACTTCCTGTGATCGATTTAAAGCTAAGCTGTAAAATATAGGTCAAACTCGCTGTGACGTAACTATATACATATACGTATACATGGAAATATTTTTGCTGCTTAAAACTAATATAAATATCTACCTATATTTTCTGGCATCTTCGTTAATTACGATAAAAAGTATTCTATATGTTAGTCTAACTTATGTGTTATGTAGGCAATTATGATATTGTATGGTAATATAAGAACTGTCCAAGAGTTACGGATTATTATATATATATATATATATATATATATATATATATATATATATATATACATATTAATTATTAGTCTAATAAAAATAGAGATCATATAGAACTACGTAGATACCATTTAGAACTATATTTAGAACTATTATAGTAACTTGTAATTGGACACAGTTATTTGAAGGCGATGTAGTAATAAACGTCTTTAGAAATTTTCGCATTGATTTAACTTCAGATATTCTTGCAAAAAAATATCATTACGAGTTACCTACCTACTTACACCCCTGTAGTGAAAGTGACATTTCACTTTACGCTTATTTTGGTTAGTTTATTTGGATCCAAAGTGTTGTAGAATAGAATCTGTCTCTGATCTGCTAGTAATGGGATCGATTCTGTAGCTTCGAACCTATTAATTTAATATCGCAGGGAAATTTTTATTTTAAGAACCAAAGTTAACTGAATTTATAGTCTATTACTTAAGTATATTACAAATTTAGTTTATATTTGTCCTTACAATTAAGATTTCACTGATATATCTAATGTTTTTTTTGGAGTTTGAAAAATATTGCGGTTGCTAAAATTGAGATATCTACAAAAAACTACTAAGGCGTATTTAACTAGCCACAACTTAATTTTAGTAGTTTTATGAAGATTTCGCGGATAACCCCTAAATATTTTGACCATTTTTAGTTCTAAAAAAATACGATTCAAAATATTTTATTTATGATAAGTTGATTTAAAAAAAAGGCAATTGTTAAAAATACCAAGACATTAGAAGCTTGTTGTTAATAATTATCTCTCATAAGACCATTGTAAATAAAAGAAAATAAGGACATTTAGTTTCTGCTCATAAATATATATAAATGTCTTCATAAATATAGGTTGACTGTGAAAAATGTCTTAAGACGTTAAATACGTTTTATGCACAATTTATTTATATTTGTGTACTCTTGGTATGAACCCAATTTAAACACAACCAAAGAGACAGGGTGGAGCCATTTTCATGATATATTATGAATTACCTTTTCATATTATAGTAAACTGTATTTAAACATATTCAAAAGTAGTATTACTATTTTCCTAAAAAAGGACATCATATGTAAGAAAAGAAAAAAATTGGGTCTTAGAAAGAAATTGGTTTAGCTTTTTTCCACATCGAACAAATAATAAATCATTGCACACTCCAGCGGTTTCGGTACTAAGGTTTTACGGCAAAGGTATGGTTATTGCTATTTAATCCAATATTTTTTCTCGAAAAATGTTTTTGGAGTTGTTTTAGCGGGGCCCAGACTATAAACTTTTATGGCATGTTTCATTTATTTTATATTTGGTTTGCTAAAATGAATTTAATGATCACATGGTTACATTGTTAATATAGAAAAATTAAATCTTAATTTTTATAATATTAAGATTTAAATTTCCTAAATTTGCGAAAATTAATATAAATAATAGTGGATGGATAGATATCTATTTATGATGAATGTCTGTTTCTCTTTTGTGCAAAAACTACTATATAGATTTGAATGAAATTTGGCACAAGACTAGGTTATATCTTAACATTGGATATTTTATGTATTGATTCACGCGTGCGGAGTAGCGGGATACTGTTAGTGTAATAATAAATAAAACAGTATAGCAATGAAATATGTCACATGTTTGATAACAAATCAAAAAAGATTTTCTGACGTTATTTCTACGAACCATTTCTTCAATCACAGTAATTTTTGGCACGTTTAATTTGTGTTTGCAATTATAGAATTCGAAATTAAATTTGTATCAGAAAGGAAAAAAATTATATATGTGCGAAATATTCAAACATGCTTTTTTATTATTAACTTTTTATATACCTCTTATTGTATATAACTGGGTTTTCTATATTTCTAATATTCTATGCTATATAAAAATGGATTATATTTTTATCTACTGAACTAAAAATACAGTAAATCAATGGTAAACAGTTAGTAGGTAATTCATAGCGAATACCAAAAACACTTGTTCAAAACATATTTACGAAATAGTCATAATACTTTTAAACAGTATAACATACTCGTAGAATAAACATTTAAAGTACACGCTGAGCTAGAGATTTAATGATTTTGATTAATTTTATAAAAAAAGTTGTGTCCAATGTTATAAATAGCTCTTCAAATTTTCAAGCTTAGTTGTAGCGGGTTGGTCATATTAGCCATTGAATCGAATACAGTTAGAAGTAATGTTCTGGAATGGAGACTATGAAGTGCCAATATAGTGTAGGCCGATCTGTGCCTGAATGTAGCGAAGAAACGAGAGAGCTGAAAATCGCTGTGTAGTGTAATACAGAGAGGTAATAATTATGATATTATATTATAATATTAATATTGACTTTACTTTTTTTTTGATAAATATTCAGTACACAAGACTGTATTTAGAGCTTTTTTAGTTAATTGTAATGTAGTTAAATCATGTAGTTCCTTTGAATTCGCCCTTCACTTTCACCTTTTATACCTATTTTTCAGATTTTACTTGTTTCTTACCTAAAAGTAGGTAAGTTGTCAATAGAAACTTTTACTTACGTTTTATATATTTACCAAGATCATTAATTATATAAACAATTTTTATATTAAGTACGTTCAAATTAGTATCCATATTGATACCTTAAACGATTCTAAACTTATCTGTCGAGTGGAAAGAGATTGTTAGTAATGGGTAATAACAGCTCCATTGCTAACAATACTCCCTATCAGGTCGACCTCCACGCGGTTCCCCTTGGAAACCATCGTGGTTAATTCTTATCAAACTCTTCATGATGAGCCAATTGAAATGACTTCATCTTCACCTATTATGTATCATTGGTGCCTCGCTAGCGTATACCGATAGTGCAGGTGGGGTTACCATTTCGTTTTAACTTATTAAAAAAAACCTTATCTGTCACTGTATGGGCGGTGGGGTGAGAAAATCTAACTGTGAAACTTTCGATATTTTCTTCACCTTTTCATATACTATATCGACATAAATCTTTGTACATATTTCACTTTGCCAGTTTACAACTTTAGGTTTCTCCCAAATATGTTCTGTATGTAAATGTTAAAGTACAAAACTATGTAGAGTTGTTTAGTGTTTTGTCTTCTCTTAACGTGTAATTAGGCAGTAACGCATAAACTTGAGCTATTATGTCATATTGTCATTTGTAGAAGTAAAATAAATGATACATACAAGACAATCCAAAGAAACTAATAAATAAAATAATAGGATTCAAGGCTATGAAACGAGGTAAATTTTGAATACAGTATCTATATTTAGATCAACAATATAAATTACTATCTTTAACAAAAAAATAAATAAATAAATAGATACATAAATCGATTTCTTATCTTTTTTCCTAGTAGCAAATATAGGTGGCTACATGATAGTTTAGGTGTTTACTTCGTAATAAAGGCATGAGAGTAGGAACTGGCAATCAATCTTCACCGTTTCATTAGGTTATACCTATTTATAGAGACGGAGGGCTTTACAGTTTTGCTAATGTATTCTGTAAATTTATTCTTAGTATTTAGTAGTATCTCGGTTTATAAATTTCTCTGACTAAATATTAGCATAATATTTTTTTAGATATGAAAATGAAATTATCTACATTAACCTATTTTTAACCGAATTCAAAAAAGGAGATGGTTATATTCTATAAATTCTTTTTTATATTTTGGTTTCTTCTCTCGTTAACTGTTCAGCTGCGATTTTTACAAGATTATTTCATTTTCTTCTTTCATCACTTATTAATTTTTTTAATATGGAAAATATTTTATGCGTCGGAGACGATGGAACTTGCGGAGGGAGAAGGGAGAGGAAAAAGAGAATACTTGAAGGGCGAAAATTAAAAAATCGCAACAAACACACTGCAGGAAAAAAGATTTTTATAATCAAGAAAAGTGAATTTTTCGACGTTATAAAATAATATCTCTTACTTTGACCCAAGAAGTTTTGTTTTTGCACTAAATTTTATAAAATCTAATTTCAAATTATTTGATTTGAATTTTAGTATGTCTGATTGAACTCAATGTGATACTTTAAAATCATACGAAATATGTATTCAAGGTATATATATATATATATATAT